CTAAGCTAAGCTAGGCTAGGCCAAGCTAAGCTAAGCTAAACTAAGCCAAGCTAAGCTAAGCTAAGCTAAGCTAATATGATATAAGCTAAACTAAGCTAAGCTAAGCTAAGCTAAGCTAAGCTAAGCTAAGCTAAGCTAGGCTAGGCAAAGCTAAGCTAAGCTACACTAAGCTAAGATGATATTAGCTAAACTAAGCTAAGCTAAGCTAAGCTAAGCTAAGCTAAGCTGGGTGAACCCAGGGGGCGCAACTGGGGGAACCGCGGGGTGGGTGCCGGGGGAACCGCCCGGGGCGCGTTCTACTGCCCGGCCCATTTAAGATACAGGGCAAGAACCCTCCATGCAAAGCCTAGGTAGGGAACAATCGTTGCCACATTCTTCGGTCCAAGATTGGAACACCTGGGGCCTTCGACCACCCCAAGGGGCCACTGAACGCCCTGGCAGAGCCCTTGGACGGTCCAGGACGGCCCGTATGAGCCCCAAGCTGGCCCAAGTAGGCCTCCAGCGGAACCCAACAAGGACTAAGCCGACCCTAAGTCGGCCCCAAGGCGGCCCAGGGACGGCCCCACGAGACGGCCAAGAGCCTCATTGGTGGTGTGGTCACCCCCTCTCGCTCGAGACATCCCCAGACTCCAGTTCGGGGGGGCGTCGTAGACCTCCTCGCTGGAGGTGGGCCTCCTGCTGGTGTTGGCTTCGCTTCAGTGCCCCAAGACGGCAGTCCAAGAGGGCCCGAGACGGCCCCATAAAGGGGCCCCCACGGGAGCCTCAGGACTGCCCCGCGGGAGCCTTGGACAGCCCCGAGTAAACCCCAAGAGAGCTCCCCGAGAAAAGGACACGGGAAAGCTCCACGCGTGCCTCGAGGGGTCGGCACATGCCGCGACTTGCTGGCGCGGTGGCGCCGTTGCAGCAGGCACGCGGGAACGCATCTAACACATGACCGAGGACGGGGGCAGTGGATCTCTCTCTCTCTCTCTCTCTCTCTCTCCCTTTCTCTCTCTCTCTCTCTCTCTCTTTAAATATACATATATATACTCGTACACCTACTTGTACATATACATGTCCATATACATGTGCATAAACAAATACATGTACATAGACATATACATGGACATATACAATGACATGTGCATATACCTTTACATATACATACACATACACGTATACATATTCAGATGTATGAACATGGGCGTAAACATATACAAATGCAAATGCGTAACCATATACATATACATACACATGTACACATCCACAAGTTCACAAACACGTATACATACAGTCATGTGTATACACCAATGTGTATACACACATCTATATAGACGCATACATATACATATGCGCATACCTAAATGTTCACATATGCATGTACATATACACATACACATACGTGTACGCGTATACATTTATACATATATATATAAACGTATATATATATATATAGATACTACTACATATGTGTATGTATATGCATATGTATATATATATATATATATATATATATATATGTGTGTGCCCCCCCCCACATCAGCATTCATTCATGTTGCATCGGTCGTTGAGCTCTTCGTTCGCATTGTCACCCGTCATCAGCCTTGCTTTCGTCCGCGTCTGCTCATCCATTTGTTCTACGAGTCCTTTTACCCGCTGTTTCTCGAGATGGAGCCGCAATGGACTCCGCTGGATATGGGACGCGTTCGATTACCAATTCGATGTGAACTAGATGTATCCCAATGAAGCGTATATTCTAAGTAGATTCCCGTAACAAATAAAATTGAATCAGCTATCTGCCCAGATCGAATTCTAAACTGATTCGACCCCAATATGAATCCTATTGGAAGTATCTACATCTCGGCTGCACCCCATATAAATTGGACCTCGATCCCCGATGGGGGAATAACTACACATTAAGCTGGACCTGGGATCTGCTCAATTCGAAATAGATTCTGAATCGAACTCAATAAGGACCCACTTGGAATCAGCTGGACCTGGGATCTGCTCTAGTCCAATTAGAGTCGGATTGGATTCCAATCGGAATCCTACTGGACTTATTCAACTGGACCTGGGACGTGCGCCAGTCCAACTACATGTTAATTATACGCCGACAGGAATCCCATGGGAATCAGCTGGGTCGGTTACGAGCTCCCTGTTTGAATCGGAGCCCAAACAGCTTTCAATACGAATACAATTGGAAGCAGCTGGGTCTAACATTTGCCCCGTTACAAGTCGATTCTGATTAGACTCCAAGAAGAACCAAGCTTAACCCAGCTGGATATGGGATCTGTTCCATTCCACTGAAATTCTAGCACGAATAAAATTTGAAACAACTGGATCGGGGACCTGCTTAACTCCAGTTATAATATATTTCGACTGCAATAGGAAAGCACTCGTCATCAGGTGGAACTGGGATCTGCTCCATTCCAGTTAGAGTCGAATTAAATTCCAATCGGAATATGACTGGAATCAGCTGGATCTGAGATATGCTCAATTCCCAAGTAGATTATAAATATATTCCGAAAGAAATCCACTTGGAATCAGCTGGATCTGGGATCTGCTGAATGCCAATTTGATTCGAATTAGATCTCCATGGGAATGACATTCGAATCAGCTGGATATGGAATATGCACCGTTTCATAAGATCCTGAATATATTCCCATAGAAGTCCAATACGAATCGGCTGGATCCGGGATCTGCCCAGTTTTTTCTAGACTCTATACCCCAATCGGAATCGACTTGGAAGCAGCTGAATCTGGGATCCGGCCTGCCCGAAGTAGATCCCAAGTGTAGTGTAATTGGAATCTACATGTAATCAGCTGGATCGGGACTCTGTTCACTTCGGCTTGGATTCTCGCCACATGAGGAGAGAACTCCAGACGCCCAAAACGACCCCCATGAAAACGCAGGGCGACGCCGTGGGCGCTCAAACCTTGCGCTCCCACTTGGAAGCTTACATCTCTAGAGGCCTCCTAGATGGGGTCGGAGTAGATGGGGTCGGAGGATCGCCCCGCATCGTCGATGCATCGGCGATGCATCGGCGATGTATCGGCGATGCATCAGCGATGCACCGGCGATGCATCGTCGACGTGGGCGAGGCATCGGCGACGTCGACGTGGAGCAAATCGGGCTGCACATCGAGCCGCATCGGCGATGCATCGACGATGCGGCGCGATCCTCCGACCCCATCTACTCCGACCCCATCTAGGAGGCCTAGAATCTCTTGGGCTGCGAAGCACAAGGGCGCACTGCGCTGCTGCTCGCACTTGCCCGAGTTGGGGGCTCCCCCTGTCGATCGAGGACCGGCCCAGGTCGCGCCGTCGACCGCTCTCTTCCCGGGCGCCCTGGCTCAGGGGCCCCAAACGGCGGCGGAGACGCAGGGATGGATGGGGAACAGGAGAGACGAGGCGAGAAGGATGAAGCCGGAGGTGAGACAGTGAAGTGGTGAAAGGCTCGACGGTTGACACACGCCCCCCCCCCCCCCCAGCGACCATCCCGCCCGGGAGCCCTGCTGCCGGAGCTCCGACCCCCCCAAAAGCCCCAGCGCCCGAAGAAGAGCACGGGGCCTGCGAGGCCTGGGGCGCGGGAGCCTTGCCTGTTCTCCTGGCCGTTTTCGGGGAGCTCTCCAGGCAGAGAGAAGTGCGGAAGCCTCGCGTTCTCCTCGCGAGACTTTGGGGGCTGTCCTTCTCCTCTGCCCCGCCCAAGCGAGATCCCGCCCAGGAGCCCACGAAGGTTCAGGGCCCCTAAAGCTCCCGAGAACCCCCCCCCCTACCAAAAAAACATGGAAACACGGAGCCCACTCGCTTCTCTACCCCCAGAAGGCCAACGTTTTTTTGCAAGCCTCCCGCCCCCCTTGGCGTCGCGAACCTTGGATGCGTTGGATCCTGGGGACCGGAGCTCCCGGGCGGGATTCTCGCCCTGGAGGGAGGAACATGCCACAAGCAAAAAAGAGAGAGAGAGAGAACAACAAAAAAAAAATATATCCAAATGAAAACGCGGGGTTTCCGCATGTCACGTCCCAGGAGTCCCGAGAATCAAAATGGAAATATTGGATTGGAGAGCCGACGTGTTTGTGGGCAGCTCTGTTCAAGCCGAGGTCCCCGAGATCCCCCTTTGTGGAGGATGGCGTCCTTCCGCCGTCCACACTGCGTTCTGGCAGAGCGCGCGCGATACACCGCCTTCGGAGTTGAGGTAAACAGCAGACGCTTTGAGAAGCCGACCAGCGAGAGAGGGGGGAGAGAAAGAGAGAGAGAGAGAGAAATAAAGAAAGATAGAGAAAGAGAGAACACAAAGAGAGTGAGAGAGAGAGAGATAAAGATAAAGACGAGGAGGAGCAGGACAGGAAAAGCACCATCGTCGTAAGAGAATGCTGGTAAGAATGGGTGCTGGAGGGGTGCTGTCCATATGTACATATGTGGAGATCTAGAGGGAGAGAGAGGGAGAAATAAAGAAAACAAACAAGAAAGAGAGAAAGAGAGAGAGAGGTGGAGAGAGCGAGAGACAGGGACAGAGACAGAGATGGAGACGCAGAACATACGAATACACCGGATACAGGTGCACGCAGTCAACCAGATACAAGTACCAGCAGGGACAGACGAGCACATGCAGACAGAGGCATGACCAGACGGGCCGACGGACGGACATAATCATCCTCATCCTTCTCCTCCTCATTCTTCTCCCTCTCCTCCACCTCCTCCTCCTCATCCTCCTCGTCGTCTCGCATTCGTCGTCGTCATCATCATCACCAGCATCATCATCATAATCATCATCATCATCATCATCAACAACAACAGCATCATCATCGTCGTCATCACCATCATCAGCATTATCAGCCTGATCATCAGCCTGATCATCATCATCATCATCAGCATCATCATCATCATCGTCATCATCATCATCATCATCATCATCATCATCATCATCATCATCATCATCATCATCATCATCATCATCATCATCATCATCATCATCATCATCATCATTATCAGCATCAGCATCAGCATCATCATCAGAGTGGCGGATCGAAAACTGTAGGCAAGCGGGCGCAGAAAAGCGGAGGCGTGCGCCATACTGTGCAAGAGAGGCCGCCGAGCAAGCTACTACGCACATGGGTGAGATAATACGGCCGGCTCTCCATGCCCCTTCACTTCCTACTCCTCCTTCCCATGCCCCTTCTTATCCTCAATGTGTCCATTGTTGTTGCAATGTCGCTTCCCTCATCGAGTCGCCTAGCAAATGTGATCTTGGATGTCTCAATCATGTGCTACGCTGTGGCCGAACATCGTTCCTTCCAGCCGTTGAAACCAAGTTCGCGCCAAATCCAAAGCGGTGGCTTCTGCTTCTGCATGTGAAACAAACAGGGCCTGCGCCCGAAATGTACCCGTGTAAGCAACTCTCTCTCCACCAGTCCAGAATTTGAGCAGGGACCGACCGTCCCGGCATTCCTATAGTCCTACCACGAAGTGTTCTTAGAACCCAAACATGTTCTAATAACAAAACAATGTTCTTAGAACATAAGCCCGATGTGTTAAAACAAACCACTCCCAGCCAGAAATGTTAGAAGAACATTTCGTGGAAACCACAAACGGTTCTTAGAACGTTGTTTGGTAGGGCTGTAATAGGCGAGCCAGGACGCTTCGTCACTGCTTGAAGAATAGGGGTCGCAGGCGTGCACAAGAAATGCAGCAATTCCGACGCTCTGGCCGCACGGTCGGGAACTCGTGCGCAGCGTGCCGCGGCGGCGACCCCGGCAGCGCGCTGTGCCCTGCGAGGGGGGGGGATAGAGTGTCGCTCCGCTCCACGGGGCGAGGGAGGCTGGGAGAGGCTCCAGACGTCAACGCACGGGGGCCGGGACAAGGTGAGGCGTGTCGCGCCGAATCGTGGCGGCCAGAACTGGCCAGCGCAGAACTTGGAGGCCTGGAAATGGGCACCAACACCAGCACAGGGGACTGCCTCCACATGGGGAAGATGATCCTAGATTTCGGTGTTGGTGGTAATGTTTCGGTCACCTTGGAAGCCAGAATATTACCACCATCACCGAGATCGGGATCGTCTTTCCTCGGTGGAGGCACACCGCCGATCTTGGTGTTGGTGTCAACCTCTAGGCCTGGGAAAAACCAAATTCCTGACCAGAACCGTTGTCGCAATATACTTGTGATTTTTTTCTCGCCGCGCCCCGAAGAGCGCTGCAATCCCGCGATCTCCATTCCGCCAGAGTCGGAGAAGACCCCTCCCCGGCCTCGGATCCACCGTATTTGGGCTGACCCCCGACTTACAAAATTGCATCGGAACTACACCCCAAACTATGCGAAAACATATGGCGGACAAATTCGCTTCAGAAGCGCAGGGCGGACGTTTCCGCAAAAGCATGGCGGAAACAAGTACGACAAAGCAGGGCGGACATCGGCATCAAAGGAGCTCAACAAGTGGGGCGGAAATCTCGTCCAACTTACGAAATCGCCCAACAAAAACTACCAAGAATTCTGGCTGAACATGGTCGGTCTCGGGAGCCCTATAACTAGAAATGTTGCCACCTCTTGGGGGCGCATCTTCGACTTCCCCTAGCCTCCGCCAGCGGAGCCGCCCTCGTTTTTACTTCCGCCAGCTTCCGCCGACTTTCCGTCGCCTTCCGCCGAGGAGAAGAGCCACCGCCCGCGTGCGTCCCCGCGACCCATGTCGGCACACCCCTTGCACAGATCGTGGCCCCATGGGGAGCTCCACCGAAAGCCCCAAGTGGCACCATTCGCATGCGTCCGACCCACCCATTTCTGCACACACACCCCGCACGTTTCGTGGCCACATAGGGAGCTCCACCGAAGACGATGCTGACAACTGCGCTACTCACAGCTGCATATGGTTGGGTTCTTCGCCAAGTTAATGTGTTTTTTGTTGTCTGGTTGTTCAGGAAGCCCGCAGACTCTGGCCAGGCCAAGTTTGTGGACCTCCTGACAACCCAAAAAAATATCCGGGCGAAAGACCCAACCATGTGCAGTTGCAAGCACCGCAAGGCAAGCGGGACGATCGAGGGGGAACTCCCTATGGGGCCGCGAACCGCGTGAGACGGGCAAACCGCGCGAGGGGTGTGCCAACATGGGGCGGGTACCCCGTGCGGGTTGTGGAGGAGACGCATGCGATGACGGCCGCTGTGACCTTCAGTGGAGCTTCTCTTGGGGCCGCGAAACGTGCGGGGGCGTGCCGGCATGGGCGGTGGAGGTGCGCGCGAGGACGGCCGCGGGGACCTTCGGTGGAGAGCCCCATGGGGCCGCGGTCCTCGTGATGGGTGTGCCGAAATGGGTGGGTCGGACGCATGCGGGGGGCGCCCCATGGGATCTTTGGTGGAGCTCCCCATGGGGCCGCGATCCTCGTGAGGGGTATGCCGAAATTGGTGGGTCGGACGCATGCGGACGGCGCCCCTGTGGCCTTCGGTGGAACTCCCTATGAGGCCGCGAAACGTGAGTTGTGTGCCAAACTAATTGAAATGCGGAGAGCAGAGGCAAGGGTTGGAGCAGGGCTGAACCTAAACGGTGTTTTTCGTTTTTGTTTGTTTTCGTTTTCCTTCGTTTTGTCTTCAATCCGCCGTTACCGCAAAACGAAGTCGAAACGAAAACGGCCCACAAAATCGCCAAAGCACCGTTTAGGTCAAGCCCTGGGTTGGAGGATAGAGGAGTGGGTGGAGGGGGAGGAGGAAAGGAAATGAGAGGAGAGGAGAGGAAAGGAGAGAAGAGGAACGCAAGGCGTTGTCTCAACAAAACGAGGACCCAGTACCACAGGATGGTTGGAAAACCAGCCTGAATATAGTAGTAGGGTTTGGTAGTATAACCAGCCAAAAAACAAAACAGAACACCAAAACAATGCAACAACTGTCTGTAGTAGTGTTTGGTGGCCACGCTCCTCCCGCAAGCCTTCCTGGCCAATATTGCGGGCCTCCTAAGCCCCCTCCCCGCCACCCCCAAAACAAATAAACATGTATAATAAACTGTGTATAACAGGTTCAGGTGGTATCACCGGCCAGATTAATGTGTATAGCATGGTTTGGTGACCAGGCTCCTCTCGCAAGCCCTCCTGGGAAGAGGAGGGACAAACAGAGAGAGAGAGAGAGAGAACAAAAAAAAAAAAACAACAAAACAAACAAAAACACAAAAAAACGAGAGGCAGAGAGAGAGAGAGAGGAAATATAAATTATGCTAACGGAGTTCCCCACATAAAGAGATTAACGGTTTCGTGGGACCCATTTTCTTGATGCCCTCCTCGCTTTGGCGGGGCCCCGCTGGAAGGGGGGAGGGGCACGAAACCATGTAAATAGTATGGTTTGCGGATACCCTCCTCGCTCAGGCGGGGCCCCGCTGGAAGGGGGGAGGGGCACGAAACCATGTAAATAGTATGGTTTGCGGATACCCTCCTCGCTCAGGCGGGGCCTCCCTGCAGGGGTGGGAGGGGCACGAAACCATGTAAATAGTATGGTTTGCGGATACCCTCCTCGCTCAGGCGGGGCCCCGCTGATAGGTGGGAGGGGCACGAAACCATGTAAATAGTATGGTTTGCGGATACCCTCCTCGCTCAGGCGGGGCCTCCCTGCAGGGGTGGGAGGGGCACGAAACCATGTAAATAGTACGGTTTGCGGATACCCTCCTCGCTCAGGCGGGGCCTCCCTGCCATTTACCTCAAACACTGCAACAATCAACATGATGCTATGAATTCTCTCGAGAGTGGGGTTCTGGGGCATCTCAATGTAGGAGCTGAATGGCAGAGCGTCAGTCTGATCGCAGACTCTTCTCCCGTGGACCGTTGCACTCTGGATGGAACAGGGGGGGGCGTTTGCCGCCAAGCTGCTGGGAGGGCACGAAACCATGTAAATAGTATGGCTTGCGGATACCCTCCTCGCTCAGGCGGGGCCTCCCTGGAGGTGTGGGAGGGACACGAAACCATGTAAATAGTACGGATACCCTCCTCGCTCAGGCGGGGCCTCCCTGCAGGGGTGGGAGGGGCACGAAACCATGTAAATAGTATGGTTTGCGGATACCCTCCTCGCTCAGGCGGGGCCTCCCTGGAGAGGTGGGAGGGGCACGAAACCATGTAAATAGTATGGTTTGCGGATACCCTCCTCGCTCAGGCGGGGCCTCCCTGGAGGGGTGGGAGGGGCACGAAACCATGTAAATAGTATGGTTTGCGGATACCCTCCTCGCTCAGGCGGGGCCTCCCTGGAGAGGTGGGAGGGGCACGAAACCATGTAAATAGTATGGTATTCCGATACCCTCCTCGCTCAGGCGGGGCCTCCCTGGAGGGGTGGGAGGGGCACGAAACCATGTAAATAGTATGGTTTCCGATACCCTCCTCGCTCAGGCGGGGCCTCCCTGGAGGGGTGGGAGGGGCACGAAACCATGTAAATAGTATGGTTTCCGATACCCTCCTCGCTCAGGCGGGGCCTCCCTGGAGGGGTGGGAGGGGCACGAAACCATGTAAATAGTATGGTTTCCGATACCCTCCTCGCTCAGGCGGGGCCTCCCTGGAGGGGTGGGAGGGGCACGAAACCATGTAAATAGTATGGTTTTCGGATACCCTCCTCGCTCAGGCGGGGCCTCCCTGGAGGGGTGGGAGGGGCACGAAACCATGTAAATAGTATGGTTTTCCGATACCCTCCTCGCTCAGGCGGGGCCTCCCTGGAGAGGTGGGAGGGGCACGAAACCATGGTACGCCATGGTATGGTATGGTACGGTATGGTACGTATGGTGTGGTATGGTATGGTATGGTATGGTATGTGTGGTAGGAACTATGGTATGGTATGGTGTGTGGTAGGAATAATATTGTGCTGTATGGAAGATGGAGCGGGAGGTGGGTGGGAAGGAGAGGGTGTTCTGGGAAAACAAGAACCCCACTCAGGATGTGGGGAAAAAGAGATAGAGAGAGGAGAGAACGCAGCGATTGGGGTAGTGGGTTGCTGGGGCGGGGGGTGCGGGGCAATCTAGAGGCGCATACGTAAGACACATAGGGTTCGAGCCACAGGAGAGGGGCAATCGATAGACATATACGTAACATATATGAACGTCGAGCCCCGGGATAGGGGCAGTCTATAGGAACAGACATTAAACACATAAAATTCGAGCCACAGTAGACGGACAATCGATACGAACATACGTAACACACGGTAGA